GTCATCAGAGTGTAAGAGATTTGAGTTTAGTTGCTTCCTCTTAAGTCTTAACTATCACTTCATTTTCTCCATTTTCCATATTTTTGCGTGTTATGTTATGAATTAAAAACTCATGACCTTGGGTTTAACAATCATCAATATCCAGTGGCCTAGTCCGCATGTGATTTTATCCAAGATACAATTGTTTAGATTCTTATTACATTCTAGTTTCTAGAGATTTTTGGCTGAATCTCTGTTGCCATTTAGATTGATAACTTCCCACTTTTTCTCTCAGCTATAATTAATCATGGAAAAGAAATGGTTCATCTTGCTTTGGCCCAACAAGAAGAGCTTAGGTGACAAACCACTCTTAAGCCCGCATATGGAAAAATTTATGCTTTTTTTAACTCTTTTTTCTGCTTTACGACAGGAAAACCTCCTGATGTTGCTGAGTGGTGGGTAAGCTAACTCCTTTTTAGCCATAAGTTATCTTAACAGATACAAGTTCCTTTCCAGCAAAGCTTTCATGACCCTAATTTGTGTCTTGCAGATAGGTTACAATGACTGGCCCAATGTTGAACTTATTGTGAAGTCCAAGGAAAAATGCGGATCTAGTAATCAAATCAATTGACTTTGAGGGAGATTCCACCTTCCTTGCCCTAATGGACACGGAGAAGAAAGGTCAGTTGATTGGAATTCACTCATTGCATTAAAACATAAAGGACTTAATGTTGGTTCAGATTCTTTTGGTATATAAAGCGGTGTTGGTTTAAATAATGGGTGACACATTGATCATTTTTAATATTATCATAAACATTAATTGTTTCAAGAATCCAGTTCTTCTGGGATTTATTTTTTCAAAGGAAAATTCAGAACTCCACACTTCCTTTCTTGATTTAATATGGATCGTGGATCATTACTATTATAATTATGCATGAACACTTAAAGCACCTATTGGTCAAAGTTCAATTAAAGAAGGCCATGTTATATGCTTTTGACTGCTTCATGACAATGTGAATGGAGCCTCTGATAAATTGATTCAGCTACTGACAGGGCTCGTTACTTGCTCTAGAAGATTATAGCAGGTCACTCTATTACAGTTGCACAAGAAATCAAGCATTGTGCTTTAATAAGTAAGTCGATCCCCTATTTTAGCACTCTGTTTGAAGCAAAACAGCTCCCCAAAAGTATGCAGATTAAACATAGAGATCAGTATTTTGCAGGATTACACCAAAGTGCAAAATACAAAACATCGGCTGGGGTACCTACCCCTACGTTTAGGGTGTAAAAGCAAGTGCCCATCGTCGAAGGGATGATCATGATTCAATCAAGGCTGATTTCCAAAATCACAAGAAGGATGACCGTAAGGCAATTAGTTTCTTAAATGACAGCAACACCAAATTTTCCAAATGACAGCAAGAACAAATCATTTGAATCCTTACAAAACTCAATCAAGCATTCAATCACCAAATTAGGATCTTGAGTAATTATAGGACCAACGGCTCCAAATCAATATATTGAGTGATTTTAGGCCAACAACTATTTTTATATTTATTTCTTGTAATTGCACAGTGTATATATATATTATAGTAAATGGGAACCTCTCCTGTATTTTGTGGAAGAGTTCATTTTTTCACAAAATTATTCTTGTTTATTTTATCTAATATAGGGAAGCACCATTTATAAGATGGTTTATGTTGTGTAATTTAGTGTAAATTAATATTTTTTTTCCTTGTTAAACATAATAATAATTCAATTTGAAGTCTCTTTAGTCTGCTACAGTTGTTAATAATGGAAGTCTTGTTTTCAGTAATATAGAAGCCACGAATAAGGAAATAAAAGGTGCTTTGGATGCCTTGGACAGAGGAAGCATAACCAACCCAAGTAGTTTCTTCTGCATGATTAAAATTTGACTTTTGTGAAGGTAATAGGAAGGTAATTTCTTATGAGTTTCGGTATATATGGTTTGGTTTTTATCCAATTAAAAAGATGAATTTAGTCTAACATGCATAAGTTGATTTAGAATAACCCTCAATCATAAAATCATGCATAGAATATAAGAAGAAGACTGAAAAAAAAAAAAAAAAAAAGGGGCCAAGCAGGAAGGAGAGAAATTGTTGAACAAGTAGCAAGAAAAGCATGTTAGTTACATATTTTTTTTATGCATTTCTTTTATCAGAATTCAGAAGCATTGAATAGATTAGAAGCAACCGGCCAACCAGGCAAGATGGAAGTTGGCTTTGATTTCATAGAAAAAGAAAGAACAAAGACATAAAGTTGATTGTGGAGAAAAATATGGGATCTCTCTAACTGGGAGTTTACCCAGTAACAGAGACAAGAGATGACAGGAGAGACAATCAAATAAATGCTCAAGTGCTCGTCTCTCCTCAATAAGGAAGCACCCTATTAAATGATCATGCATATGCATTGCCTTTAGTTTATCATTCAATTCAATTTTCCTTTCTTTGTTTCGGTAAGGGGTTTTAGGGGTTATGTAATGTAAGTGTGAGTTTTCTTCTTATTATTTTTTATTTTTAGGCTTTCTTTGAATTAGGACCTGTTTAGTGCAATTTGTCGGAATTTTTGCTTTTTTTTACTGTTCATGAGTAATAAATTTAAATTTTTATTAGAGGAAAAATTTAAAAGTTGTTTTTAAAAATAAAAAAAAAATGAGTAAAAAGAAAATTTATGAAAAATTTGAATTTGAATTTGAAACTTTTGATATTTTATTTAATCTTTTATTGTTTAAGATTTTTTTTAAGTTAAAAAATATTTTAAAAAATAAGTTTTTAAAAAAAAATTTTAAACTTATAAAATAAAAATAATATAAAAAAACAGAAATACTTGGGAAGTTACACCAAACGGACCCTTAGATATTAGGAAATACTCCATTGCTTTTAAAATATATTATTTGATTTTTTACACATAATTTAAAATAATATTTTTATAAATTTCATTTAAATGATAATTGAAATTTTTTAATCAAATAAAATTATTCAATAAAAAATATTTTAAAAAAATTCAATTACCATTTATATATTATAAAAAAATATATTCACTATTCGTACATTTAGTTTACAGGAAACAAAAAAAGAGGGAGAGAAATGAAGAGCTACGATATATTAGCTAAAGTAACTAATCTGCCTGTTTTCGGCCACAAAAATTATAATACTTCTAGTTGACTTGATTGATATTTTATTTATATAAAATTATCTTTTAGACAATTATAATATTTAAAAATATTAATTTGTAAATTAATTTTAATTTATTAAATAATAAATATTAATTATTTTTTATAATTAGTCAAATAAAATAAAAATCTTTCAAAATAATTTATGTGAGTTTAACAATATCTTTTTTTTTTTATTGCAGTGGTAACCACACCACTAGTCTTCTTTCCCTCTACATATATCGTCAAGTTGATGGGCCATTTCCCCGATAATGATATGCCCTGTACCTGTCTTATGTGTGAAACCTTTTTCCCTTTCCCCACGCATTTTTTTAAAATGCCATACACTTTCCTTTAATAGAACGCATGAACTTCAGCATTGTCAGACCAGATCCCAGGAGAAAGAGAAATTTAGTTCATCATTTACTATTCCCTCAAATTTCAAATTATGGTTATTGGCAGCACAATAATTATAAATATGTATAATTATCAAACGAAAAATGAAAATCAAGATGATTTATCGTTGGGTGTCGATCATAATTATAAAATAAGTGAATTTTTTATTAAGATTTATGGAATTAATTGCTGTGATAAATGTTTTTAATATCAAGATATTTTGATTTTTTACGAACTCTTATTTAATTTTGTCAATTTATAATTAATTAAAATTTTTTTTATCTTGTATCCTTAAAAATATTTTTTTAATATTAATTGTCATTAAAAAAATAAAATTTAATATTTAATTAATTATTTATTTAATTAAAATAATATATCTAGCATTAATGGTAAAATTAATGTTAGTTTTGTTATTTTTTATATTAATTAAAATAAAAAATATATATTAATTATACTTTTAATTTGTGTCCTAAAAACATATATTAAATAAATCCTTAATTGAAATGCTTTAAAATAGGTTGATTTCAAACCATGAATGTAGTAAGCCAGAGAAAACCCAGTTACACTAGGTAATATTATTGTCCGAGACATTTATTAGACCTAGAAGACATTTTCAACTTTCCTTAAAGAAATTAATAACTCGATCTGGCCTTTCAAAAACACTTGTGTTTTATCTTGCTTCTGTTCTAGTTTAAGAAAACGACAGTCTAGTTTTACAAGAAACTTTTCCTGCTTCAACGAAAAAAATTGCTTAAAGAGTAGAAACGAAAGGTGATGCAGAGAGATAACCCTAACATAATTTCCCATAAAATAGGCCAAACAAACATTTTAAGTTAATAAAAACTTGGCCTTGATAGTAGTTGAGGTGAAGGCCTAATTAAACATCTTTAGATTTTAAGTTTCAGTCTAGATGTAATACGTTGTTAAATTAGAATTAGAAAATGTTACTACACTTTTTGATTCAATACATTTTTTTATATTCGTTTGATTTAGTCATTAAAATATAATATAAATATAACTATTTTAATTAATTCTTATATACTATATGTATAATTATATTTTTAAATTTATTTATTTTTAATTTTATATTAAAAAACAATAATTTTTAATAAATATATTATACAATAAGTTAAACTAAAAAGCATATCAATTAATATCCATCAAAATTACTTCTTAAAATAGATCAAACATCAGTTCAATTTTAAAAACATTAGTATAAGTTATGTCCAACTTTATGTTGATATATTTATCAGCGACCTAAAAAATTCAGCTGACCTAATCAAACGGGCATATGAACAAGACCCAAGAAAGGGCACATGACCCTGTTGGCCTGTTCCCTCATCCCTACCTTCAACATATCATTATTTCATTTAATATTCTCTTCACCGCTTTGGAAAAAGCAAAGAATAAAAGAATCATTGACTAAGATAACCTGAAAATTAAATAAATAAAATAAAAATAATTAAACAGAGCACACAGTATTATAATAACAAACTACAAACTCGAGGGATACATTTAATTGTTTACAATGTTTGTACTAAGCACACGCCGGCCCTTAATACTAAATCCAAGCAAATTAATTGAGCGACAGAAACAGCTGAGATATGAGTCGTTTTGGGACATGAGATTTATTATTTATTGCTCCTGTCTGTCATAATTGATATAAGTATCTCACGTTTAATTAATTAAACATATATATAATTAACACCATAAAATGCACCCTAATGACCTGCTCGATCCATCTGTTCGCTTTGTTTGTCTACAGTGATGACTAGATCAATGGAGCAGGCTGTGTCGTGGTGACCTTAGCTTCTGTTCTTGCACTTCTCCATGGCTTTCGGTGCTGAAAATTCATAAAAAGATGCATATTCTCAGTTATCATATTGAAGGGAATTAATTGTCCTATTACTATTATAATGTAAACCCTAAAAAATAATGAGGCTTTAGTACATTTAGAATGGCTAGTTAGGGTTTATAGAATAGTTTTAGGTTCAAATTTTGTATTTTTTGAGACAATAATTGTGGAGAATGATTTTTCTCCCCTAAATTATAAGAGAGGAATGAAATTTAGAAATAATATTGATTAGTATATGTTTTAATTTAATATATTTATTAAAAAATTATTATTTTTTAATATAAAATTAAAAACAAATAAACTTAAAAATATAATAATGTATATAAGATATAAGAATAAATTGAATAAGTTATATTTATATTTTATTTTAATAGCTTAATTAGAACAAATTTTAAAAAATATATTAAACTAAGCATTACCAATCATTTTTCATTTTACAAAGAAATATTGCCTAACTACCAATGAATTGTTGGCCCTTGTGTATGATTTATATATAATTAGAAAGAAAAAAATTTGGGAAAGCAAAAAGAAAGATATAACTTGATTAAAGGATACTAACCAAGACCAATTGCCTCAGTTCCTTTCATGATGCGTAGCCTCTTGCATGATTCAACAAACATCCTGGTTCAACATTGAAGAAAGAATTAGCTCCAATTAACTGAGTAATTAAAGATTAATTAATGTCTTTGAAATTAGGGATTTTTAATTTTATTAAAATAAAAATGAAATGATGTGGAAACGTACTCCCATGGGACATCACCCACGAGCATCCAATCACCATCCTTGTCCTCATAGGTGGGTACATAATCAGAGCCGTTAAGAAGGTCCATCAGCTTGCTCTCATTCGTGAAATCCTTTATCCCTTGGGATCCACAATTGCCTGAACACACCAATAATTATTAATTTTTATTAGGAAGAAACATAGGACATAAAAGTTTTAATTTAAAATAAAATTAAGTAATTTGTGTTGTATAATTTAAATTATTAAATAAAAATTAATTTTTTAATATTAAAACTTATTTTTATTTAATAATTTTTATTTTAGTCTTTGCACTACAAAACATAGTACTCTTTAAACCTGTCATTTGTAAATCTAAAGTAATTTTTTTCTATCATTTTGTTTGGGTGCTTGAATTTTTCTATACGGACTTTTTATAAAATAATTTCATAATTTCATTTGATAAAGCAATTATGTAGTATTATCCAAATTTGTGTGTGTAAATGTCAAAGCCACAATTACTTTTAGAAATTAAGGAGGAAGCTTCCTATATCGAAAAGGAAAAAAGAAAAAAGAAAAAAAAAAGAGATCATGTGTTAATGTACGTATACATAGGTACATACCAATGGTAAAAGAGCTGAACATTTTGCCCAAGGCATCATAAAGGTCCTGGTAAGTTTTGTACATCCTCAAGTCCACCTTGCGGAGATAAGGTGCCCCATCCATACTCACTTTCACAAAGGCAGCACCCTTATCACTCTCATCACTCATGCTCTTCTGGCTCGCCAACACATTCTTCCGATACGACCGGACTGGTGGCCAACCCACCACCTGTGCCCTAATCAAACCAAAGATCAAAAATCAACAGAGAGAAACCCCCAAAAAATTGAATTCAAACCAAGAAGACTTCAACATTTTTCCTTAAAAAAAAATACCAGAACAGCTAACCCTAAAAATAATAATCATAACAGTATAATTTTGTACTAAGTACAAATATATATTCAATCTACTATTTTACAGTTTAAATTATAAAATAAAAGTTTTAAAATAACGGAGGGTTTTTAATATTAAAAATCTAATTTTTAATCTATGAGCCTAAATTTTTAATTAAATACTATTTGAATTGTAAAATAATTTATACATATATTTTTTAAAAATAAAAACACATATATATTTTTAAATATGCAACTTACTTGGCTGGAGGCTTGGCCGGATCAGCAACAGAAGGGAGAAGATTCTTGTCCTTCTGCACTCCCTTCACCTTGTCATGATCCAGATCCAACCCGGCGCCACCGACATCCTTGGATGAAAGATTAAGCTTCAAATCCACCGTCTCAAAGAACCCCCTCTTCCTGGCAACCTCCCCTTCACCACCACTGTTTCCAGGCAACCCCAGCCTGAGCTCAGTCTCCTCAAACTCCATCTTCTTCAATCTTCACCACACCAAATCTTCACCCCCCCCTAAAAAGAGAAAAACAAACCCACTTTTCCTCACCCAAATCCCTCCCTCAAAGGTTCCTCAATTCTCAAAAAATAATTTGAATGAAATAATTCAGTTTTTTCTTTTTTTTCCTTCGTGTAAAATAAGTAGTAGAAGTGATAATAATGGAGACGTTTGGAGAAGAAGGGTGAGTGGGGGCGTGAGTGGGTTTTAATATGCGGAGGGGTGCATGATTTCAGTCTTTGAGATTTCGACACGTGGTAGTACCGTGAGCTGGATTGTGCGAACTTTGCCGTGACAGGTGACAACATGGTGATGTCACTGCTCTTGCCTTCTCGACAAGCCCTGGCCCACTACCTTTTTTAATTTCCTTTCTCTGTTTGGTAAAATTCTATCAATTTTGGCAGGGGTAAAGAAACTTTTTCACAAAGGGAAAAGGAAAACCCGAGTACGATGAGTAATAAAAATGTAACTTCATTTATTAATAAACATATGATAAATTTAATAAAATTAAAATATTTATTAAATTTTATATATTTAATAATTATAATTAAATATATTAATATTTTTAATATTCAAATATCATAATTCTCCCCTTTCTCTTTTCTCTTTTAAAAATACTTATCATTTATCTCTTTTATTAGTTAAAAAAAAAACTTTTACTATGGATTTATTTGGTATAACAGTTTTAGAACAGTAGTTAGTGATTTTATTCAAACCGTTAAGTATACGTATTTGGTTAATTTATATATTTTCAAACCGATACAAATAATATGTTTGATAAAAATTTTTATTTAGCAATTTGAGATTAATGAATAATGGTTAAAATCTAAATCACTAACGAATTGAAAAAGCTAATTTAGGTACTTTTTGTACCAAACCGTTAGCGAATTAAAA